CTGTAGAGAAATCCAACTTATTTTTGTATGTTGATCTTGTATCCTGCTACTTTGCTGTATTGGTCAACTACGTCCAATAGTTTTCTTGCTGAGTCTTTAGGGTTTTCTAAGTAGAGGAACTTGGAGGGGTGGAGGGACAACAGCACAGGAGAAGAAAACTCCAGATGAGATGGACTGACACAGTAACTGTGGTAATGAGAAGAGATGTGCCAGAGACAGTGAGAGTAGCTCTGGACAGAGTAGAGTTCAGCACTATTAAGCATAGTGTTGCTATGAGTTGCAGGTGATTCGACACATATCAACAACCGTTTTAAGGAGATATTATCCAACTTTCAGATGCATAACAAGTAACTGAAAAGTCTATGACTTGAATCAGATGCACCTTAGTTTTTAAACTGATATACTCTTTTTAACACCTTCGAAAAGTTTTTGACTGCAGATGACTGCTGATGCTAAAGGTGTTGATTGTCAATTGATGCAAGATAAAATTGTTCACAACTTCAATCTTTTCTCCACCTATCATGATGTTGCCTGTTGGCTCAATGATAAAGATTTTTGTCTTCTTGATGTTGAGCTGCAATCCGTGTTGAAGGTTATTGTCTCTGATCTTCTGCAGCAAGTGTTTCAAGTCTTCTTCACTTTCAGCAAGCATGGTTGTGTAATCTTCATAATTAAGGTTGTTGATGAGTCTCACTCCAATCCTAAAATCTGGAAATATAGCTCTATTGTCAGACTAGAAATATTATAATTCAAAACTTTCTTCTGGAATGTTACTATAAAATTTGAGGACCTAGTTCAGGCTGACATTTGGAGTACTAGAGAACCTTGTTCCACTTTGATCTGGCAGGGAGAAACAGTGAAGAAGGGCTTCTCATTAAATTTCAACTTTTCCAGGGCACAGGTCTTGTGTAGTGTCCAACCTATGTAGCTACTCAAAACTCTTAATTTTATGAAGGCAGAAAAGTCTGACAGGACACTAGTTTGTGGGTCCTCTGAGTTCTTTTTGATGGTGAGAATAGAACACACTCCATATCTTGGGCTTCTGGCAGGACTGAGAATTTTGTAACATCTAAGAGTTAAGTCTTCTCATACTGCCCTTTGAAATCTGTTCAAGTCCTTAACATCTTGATTTCTTCCTTTTGTTTTGGCTTTTCGGTGTTCTAGCGCAATATTCAAGGTCTCTTATGACTCCATTTGGTCCTTTTCCTACCTCTGTCTTTGTAATGACCTTTTGCATTCTTCATCGATGATATTCTTGATATCCTCCCACTGCCCATCTGGTCTTCGCTCATTAGTATTCAAGGCCTCAAATCTGTTCTTGAGATGGTTTTTAAATTCAGGAGGGATAGACTCAAAGTCAAACTTTGGTTCTTGTGGTTTTGATATGCTTTTC